TCGCCTTTCTTCCATATCCTTTTAAAGTGTTCGCACCTCTTCCTGTTTAGCAAACGGTAGACGTCTTGGATGTTGCTTGATCGGGGGATGATCGCCGGTATCGATTCTATGTGTGTCAAACTAGGTTCGACCCACGTCAGAAGACGAGCGGGAGAAAACAACTTGAAGATCTTTAATGACGCGATCGGCAGCATTCTTCTCTTCATCGTTCAATTGCGCATTCTGCAATAACTTCGATTTAATGCTCTCTGAGGACACGGATTCTGGGATGTTACTCTTTTCTCAACGCCAGTTACTGGGGTACATGCTGCAACCACTTCACCTTTTTTAATAACTCTCGCCTTCTCAGTTACATTACTTCTCAGTTACTCAGACATCACCGGGATAACCGTTCTCGATAGGTCGATGAGTGTTGAAGCTACTAGTACTCCTTTCGGGCTATTACATTTATTGGGATATTCTCTGATGCCGTACCGAAAATTTCTATTTTCGGCTGTGGATCCAGTAAAATATCTGCTCTTTCCGGTATTGTGATATTGTTTTTTTGCTATGATTCTGTGGATAGATTTAACTTCGTCATTAATTCCAAATAACACTATGTCTTCAGACGCAGAATGCAATTCGTTATTTTTAAAGTCCAAGGAAAAATTATATTTCCTTAAAAAGTCTAATCCGAGGTATGCAAGGATCTGTAACGTCTGCTACATATGCCATGTGATGGTAAGCGGCACTTCCAAAAGTGATGTTAACGTTCACTTTCCCCGCGATATCGATCTTCTCACCGGACACAGTCTGGAGGGTAACGCAGGGCGGCGTCCAGATAAGTTTGCTTCCCAATTGTTGAGCCAAATCTTTTCGGATGATGGTAACGTTGGCTCCTGTATCTATCGTCATATTGCAGGGAAACTCCATTAATATGTCCTATTACAAAAAGTCCATTACTGCCTCCTCTCACTGCAGAAATCTGAAGCGCTTTAAACTGGGGCTTTTCATTATCTGGCAACCTCCGCCCCGCGAGATGGCCACTAATTAGTTTCCCTGCTGCTTTGCTAGGAGCGGTTTTAACATCCGTGCCCTGGGGTGTTCTGAAGTTTCGTCGTATGTGTCCTTCAGCACCGCAGTTCCAGCACTTAACGGTCGGTTTTCTTATCACCAATATTCCGTCTCAAGGCGTTGAGTTGTCTTAGTTAAATCGTCTAGACGAGCAGTGACTTGATCCCCTGGCTGCTTGGACTTGAGCAGCTCTCACGGGTGGCGGTGTCTCGACGAGTGGCTTGCTGGGCTGCCTCGAATTTCATGGCGTACACTAAAGCGCTTTTCAAATCTTTAACATCCGCCATTCGTAGGCTTTCTGTATTTCGGGTCCCGGATGCCATCGATAAAGTATTGCAGGGACAGGATTTCCCTCGTTTCTCTCGGGCACTCCGTAAAGGCGAGGTGGGACAGCTTTCAACATCTGTTGGCGAGTTCCTGGAGTGATTCGGTGGGCTTCTGTTGACGGGATTTTAATTGAAGCCTGCTGTAGTCTTTTAAACATTTCTCGCCAAAGCGCAGTTCCAATGCGCCGGATAGAGCTTCGAAGTCAAGTCTTTGGTTTTCTGGGAAGCGTCTGCAGGATATCCGCTGCGTCTGCTCTCAGAGAAGCGGCGAGATGACAGGCCTTAGTTTGGGAATCCCATCCATTCGCATCCTAAACGATAGAAAATTGTGTCTTTATACACTTGCCAGGATGTCTTCCCATCATATGTGGATATCTTCAGAGATGGACGAGCAGGCATCGGTAAGAATTTAAAACATCACTCCTGCTCCTTTCGTTCGCTATGAATCTTCTTTAAAGTGTCGAACTTCTTTCGCAACGGCTGAAACCCTATCATCAATTTGTTGCTCGACGGTAGAAAGAAACTCGCTCTTCTATATGTTCTTTTACAGAAGAAACTCTTTCTTCTATTTCTTCTTCACCGAAGAAACTCTTTCTTCAATTTGAACCTTTTACGGAAGAAACTTTTTCTTCAATATGCCCAACTTTATTTTCAACCACATCTATTCTGCCTTCCATAGCATCGAATTTGGTTTCTATTATGCAGGGCAATTTCTCTTTTCATTTCGTATGACTTTCTTCATCTTTACTTGTACGGTTTTTATTTCTGTTTTAACAGATTCCTTAACAACTTTTATTTCGTCTTTAAACGTTAATTGACCAGCTTCCAACTTTTCGTGAACGCCTTCCATTTCCTTTTTAACGGATCTCCTCTCTTTAACGGAATCTTGGCCCAATTTCATTTCTTCCTTAACGGAGTTGACGGCTCCTTCCATCTTTTCTTGGAAAGCAGCAAATGCAGTCATCATTTGCGTGAATTGTTCTTCCATCGCTCTTGTTATTGGCATTCAAATCCCACTCCTGACACCAAAAATTGTTGCGTGCGCACGGGTTCGTTATGAAATGAATGCACAAGGTCCGATGAAAAATTAACAAAAATTTATTATTATCACAACAATAATGCTTAAATTTTCACAAATTATCATGCAGTATTACAATATCTCACAGTAGTAATCTTCTAACTAATCAAATGTCCAATAGAACGTAATTCAAAACAGCTAAAGAAAGCTAATCCGCGAATTCGCTACAATCAACAAGAGCAGTTTTCTAAACAACAACAAACTAAGCAACTCAGTACGAACTGAGATGTTTTCCTCCTTTTATAAGATTTTAAAAATCACGCGCTAGAATTTTCCAGTACTTTCTCGAAATCCAAAAGAGATATTTATTTATTTAATGCACGCGCTCTTGTATTTTCAATTTTCCGGCTTAGTTTTCTTTTAATATTCGTCACGCGCTGCACTGCGCGAGAAATAAAACCATTTCATTTATAACTGAACTAATATTAGCTTTTTAAATACCAAATTCGTAACATTATAATAGGTGGTGTGTGTGATTATGGTAAAGCCTCGATGGCTATGCGCCTGAATGGAAGGATGCCTTCGTGGAAGACTTTCTAAGGGAAACTGGCTCGTATACACGTTACACATGGGGAAAACACCCATGCAGCCAGCCCGTTCGCGAGATTCGAACCTCGGACCGAACTACCAGTTTTCAGCGACTTACATTCGGTGCTCGTCCGCTGGTGGGCCAGCTTTCTAAGGGAAACTGGCTCGTATACACGTTACACATGGGGAAAACCACGAAAACGCCCATGTAACCAGCCCGTTCGCTGGATTCGAACCTCGGACTGAACTACCAGTGTTCAGCGACTTCACCGCTTGGCCGCTGGTGGGCAGATATTAATAGGACTGAATGCTGTATGTGTTTGTTTTGGTATCAAAAAAGAAATATGTTTATATAATAACTTAATATATACATTTCATTTAGCATATTCAGTTTAACCATTCTATGAATTAAAAAAAAAAAAAAAAGTTAGTCAGTTATTTGTGGAAAAATGTTATTCATACACAGATAAGTGCACTCATAAAAACATTATGCAGTTTATCTTAACGTCATTTTACTGTCATCGTACTTTCTGTGAACACATGGAAAAAAGGTGGATGTTTATTTAATATGATGACCTGTATACAATATTGCCACAGACATAATGATTACATTCGTAAATACTAGCAAATATATTTTGCACATTTTGCAGGTAAATTTATATAATTAAATGCAGAAGTCAAAATTAGGTACTAAATTTTAAACACTTACATTCAACAAAATCTTAGTAAATATGGATCTTAATTTTATAAATGAAATTTTGTATGAAATATATCATGGTGCACTGTATAGTAATGGAATGCAAATTTTAAAACTATAATAAAATAAAATATTGCTTAAGTTATATTATTCATTCATAATACAAATCATAACAAGATATGATAAAAAAATGAAATTTTATATTTTACAAGAATTTTAGCATGTTTGTTTTTTAAAACGTTTCTATATTCTTAAATCATACATTTCCTAAATTTTGATTGCATTTAAATGCAATGCTGTGTATTACTCTGTTTTCAAATAATATGAAAGAAAAAAGGCCTTAATAATTAGAAAATTAATATTGCTGAAGGAACTGCCTTTACTATCTTTGCAAAATTACTGTAACTAAATTATCCAGAACTGATAGCCTTAAGTATAATAATACAAACTAATTTGCTCGCCAACTGAATTGTGGACTTCTAATATGTTGCTTTTGTACTCTGCGGGTGTTGTTAGTCCTTCTTTTTTACTTACATGAACATCCCGTGTATTACTGATATTGTATTTCTGGCATGTACCATATTAACAGTACAATAGGCTCAAATTCTAAGTAATGACAAAGCCCATCAGCTGAACACTGGTCGTTTGACTTCAATTCCTGGAGAAAAGGCTGGTTGTATGGCCATTTTTCCATGTGTAACACGAGTTAGTTAATGCAGTGAGCACATACACATAATTTAAAACTATTTAAGCGTATTTATATGCATCTGTCACAATTCACAACAATATTTAAAACCGTTGGCATTTAAAATATACCTAATAAAATGCATAGAAGTTTCTATATATATTAATGAATCAATTAATTTAAGTAACCCGAAAATTCAAAATAACTTGCATCACTGCTATTTAAACATTAAATCAAATCAAACACACTGTAAGTTTCTATACCTATGAAATAATACATTTTGCTGATTATTTTTCATTTTGCCTGCATATTGGTGCATAATGCAATCTCGCGTAGTGCGTACCAACCATTATGCTATATAAATTTAATTATATTTGAGAGCGAAAAAAAAAAAAAAAAAAAACCGAGAGTTTCCACAGTCGCGCACAAGCATTACATCAGCTTAAATCAATGCAAAAATCTATGTTGATCTGAGGAGAGAAAACTTCAGCCAATAGACAGCGAGAACGCATTTTCGTTTGCTTACCCCAAGTGAGCTAACCTGTTCTTTCTACGGACCTTGCCTACAGCGTTCATTTTTAAAGACTACTAACTTCAACTTCTATTCACAATTGTTGATGTGTGCTTGTAAACAAGATGGCGGTGAAAGCATATGCTGTAGATGATTTAGTACAGAGTGTTACATTATATACATCTCGCCGTCTTTTGTTTCATGGCTATGTTGGACCATTTGTCATATTTTATCTCATATGGTTTTACATATGGGCATTTCGTTATGGAGTTTCTGAGTATTTTGAAGCCGGCATGATAGCTGTAGCCATCATAGGAATTTTCCAAATTTTAACTTGTCTGTTTTGCCATTGGTCTGTTCATATACAGTGTTTACTCTCTTGTAATAGAGTAAGTAATATCATGGAGTTTTTTAATTCTTTTGTTTACAAAATTGCTTACGGCATGCATCGTAACAAATTAAATGACGGCATTTATGTTTATGCAGAATATGTTGTAAGAATGTAATTATTGTAGCATTAACTTAAAAAAATATTCATGAATAATTTTGAAAGTTTGTGTCATTAATACAATTTTTATACCTTTCAAATTCTTATAAGGTGTCACGGTCCTAAAAAAATTGTTTCTTATTAAATAAAATCAAATGTTTTTCTAGTGAGGTATACTGTATATATAAATGTAAGCAATATTTTTAAATATAAAAATGACTAAAAGGGGAATAACAAATTTGCTCTAGAAAGCTGTAACAATACTAGAAGCGGATCATTTTATTTTTCCTACTAGTGAATGGTACTTGTCACATGAATGTAATAAGTGAAAATATTTTTATTTGCATTTAAACAGGTTTAATTATTTAATCGAATACTTGAAAAATAGATTATTTTAGAATATTTATGTTTTCTGATGAAGAAATGATAGTCTTTCTGAGCATACATATTTTGTGTATATTTTATTCCTGTATTTTTTTTTTTTTTTTTTTTTTTTTTTTTTTTTTTTTGATGTTATAGAAATTTATGGAGTTTTTACATAAAAATGTAAATTTGTTAAAATGTAATTTCTCCCATATATAGCAAACTGATGTGTTAAAGGCATGTTATGTGAAAGTTGTTCCAACACCAAATAATGGTTCTTCTGAACTAGTACATCTTCATCAATCTAAGGTAAATGCTTATTTTTGTTTTTTTATTATTTTATTCTATTTATTTTCATTTTTTGTAATGTGTGCTTACATTTAAATGTGTCATTTAACTTATTTTCACAAATTTAAAGTTTCCAACCACATATTTTTGAAAATAGCTCATTATTTTATGAATAGATACCATGAATGAAATTTAATTATTGAAAGTGTTCAAAATAGTGATTTCATTTTTAAAATCATTCTTGTGATGTATATAATGTAACAAAAGTATCTTTAATATCAAGAAAAATTCAAAACTGCTGTCTGGCGTTAGAAATATTTTATCATTTGAAGTGCAGATGTATAAAAATTTCAAAATTCCTTTTATTATTAAAAGAACATTAATTGTGCCTTCCTTTTAATATCTGTTTAATGTTAAAAAGTGGACAAGACATGCATGGAGCAATATGAAAAATATGCAGATGTATTTGTGAGAGTTTATGGAAGAAACAAAAAAAAATTCATGTATTGAATTAACACTTATGGGGAATTTATTATGTCTTTTTGGTAATGTTTGTAACAGGTATTTGTGGTAAATGATTTGTGTTGATTTTAATTTTGTGAAATGAGTTATCTTATTGTAATTTTTGTGTAATTTTGAAGTAGACTTTGTGATATAATTAATAAGCTATGAATGGGCATGGTTTCATAGCATTTTAGCATATTGTTCTAATACAATTTTTTTTTTTTTTTTTTTTTATATCAAATGAAAAGGAAAAATTTTTTAGGATAAAGGTTTGCATTTTATTTTGTATTTAATTTCCTCTCATTTGCACAATACAGTTAGTATACTTGTGTAAGGTATTCCAAAGTATGTTTTTGCATTCTAAATTGCTATCTACTGTATAACTGTGATTACTAGAGAAGTTTTTGTATAGTTTAGGTCTTTTTGTGCAATATTTATAATACTCGAAAAGAACCAAGAAAAATAAAACCATATTCGAGGATGAGTCAAATGAAAATCTTAAATATTTTTTATGTGTGATTTATTGAATAAAAGTGGAAGGCGAATGTAACATATTTTTGACTTTCTCTTTGATGTTTGGTACACTTCCTCAAATACACAGGAAGTGCACAGATTCATCTGTGAAAAAAAGTCTTGTGGTCATATGCACAGCCCATACATGCACCTCCTTCAGTGGCATGAGATTTCTTTCTTCCCATCACCTCTTTGAGTGGTCCAAATATGTGGGAATCATTGGAACAAGGTCTAGTGAGTATGAAAGATGTGGAAGAGTATCAAAGTGAAGGTCAGTGATGGTTTGTAGCTGGTGCATGAACTGTATGAGGTCGAACATTATCATGTTTCAAAATAACACCTGTAGCCAGACATCCATATTGCTTTGATCTGATTTCAGGCCAAAGATATTTTTCAACGTATCAGAATATGATATTCTGGTGATGGTGTAGTGTTCCAAGATAATGTGTCGTTTTTCCCAAAAGAGAATCAGTATAACCTTTCCTGCAGATCTACAGATGGCTGCACCTGGAACTTCTTGGGTTTTAATGATAGGAATGGCACCATTACTTATTTGCTGTGTTGGTTTCAGGTTGGTGGTAATGGGCCCAGGTTTTATTTCTTGTAACCATTCTCACAAGGAAGCCATCGTCTTCTGCTTCAGATCATTGCAAACATTCTTCACAGATGGCAGTGTGTTGCTCTTTAAATTCTAAAGTGAGATGCAGTCGCACCCACCTTGCAGATACTTTGTGAAACTTAACCACATCATGAATAATGTGGTGTGCTTACCCATGTCTAATGTTTGGATTTGCAGCTGTTTCACCCACTCTCATGTGGAATTTGTCATTGAACTTCCTACTCCACTCATAACCTTGATGCAATGATAAACATGCGCCACCATACTGGATTTTCAACCAATGGATTTTAATAGCTTTTGCATCTACTTTGCTCGGAAAATATGTGACAGAACAAAGGTGTATATCGCAAGTAGGTTGGCAATTTTAATTTGGTATTGTGGCAATTTCTTTTGCATGCCACTTTATAGAACGAACAATGGCATGTGAATTCAGATGTTTATCATGTTTTCAATTTTTTTTTTTTTTTATTTGACCCTCGTAGTTTTTTAGGAATGTTATTGGTACTACTCTTATATGCACCTTTAGGTCGCCAAATGTGGCGATATGTGTCGTGCACTGGCTTTTGGCGCAATGGGGGTGATGTTAGTTTCTATGGAAACCTTTTTTACGTGGAAACTTGGATTTTACTGTTGGCAAAATTTTAGTCGCATGCCTGGTACAACTATTTTTTCAGGTGGCTGAAAATTCTACGAGTATTTAGGAGAAGAAGGTTTTGAACATTTATTTTTGAAAGATAATATCAATTTTGTGGATAGTGAGTCTGGCTGTCATATAAATGCGATGGAGATTACGTGGTGGCATGTTAAAGCTCTGTTGCCTACTTATAATCGGAAATGCGATATTGAATTTTATTTGGTGGTTTATATATTTTCCCGTTGTTGTTCTGAAACGAGAGAAGATGCTTTTAACAAATTTACGGTGAAATTGTTTTAGTGATGTTTGAAAATGGTATTTCTGCTGTTCGAAGAAGCATTCATTCATGGTAAGTGCATTTTATTTTATTCTTGTTCTTATTTTGTAGAATCTTATGTTTATTATTATTATTGTAAAGATTATTGTTGTTATGGATGTAAAGATTATGTTCTTTGTCTTTCTTTTCCATAAATTTAAAATTGGTTGATTAACTGTATCTGTATATGTCGTATATTTTGTATGATGCATTTATCTTTTCTTCTCTCTCAATAGGATGAAGAAGGTGTAAATGTCTGGTTTAAGTTTCAGAAGACTAAATATTTGTATGACTTTGATAAGAAGTCTTTTCGTGGCTTATCATTTTCAGATAATCTTCCATTTAAATATTACCAAGAATGTAAAGGTTTTGCTGATGATTCTGAACTGAAATCAGCTGAAAGCAAATATGGAAAAAATGAGTATGTCTTACTTTATTTGTAAATTCTCATAATTTTATAACTAATTTAAAAAAAGGTAATCATTTTAAATCTTAAAAAAATAATCATCTGAGTCTCATATGTTGTAGAAAAAATAATGATGTTTTTGTGTTAATAGTGTCCACAGAAAAAAAAAAAAATCACCAAGCACTGTTAGGAAAAGATGGAAAGACCGAAAAATATTCAGATATAAAAAATATATTTCAGTTGAAAGTAAAATGGAACAAAATGACATTTGCATATGCAATTTTAGAAAAAATATACTTCAGGGTACTCCTTGGCGAAAATTGGCGACATTTTTGGTGCTATTCCTGTTTACATGCAACACCCTCCCAAGTAAAATAGCATCCAAAACATAAGATAATTATAATCTCAATAAACTGTTGTAAATATTTCTACAACAAATTACTAAAGTAAGGAAAAGAACAATTTCTTATTTTGTTTCCTCGATAGTGCCCAGCATCATCATAGCTTTCAAGAATCCATAAAGCTTTCATAATCCCAACCAGTCCAGATTTCGGACTTTGTTCTGTATACATATATACATAAATAAGAAAACAGTGCAAAAATAAGCATAGTCTAATTTGAGGGTCACGTGATGTTGTGCCATCTTCTCATTGGCTTTGACAATATGAATTGAGTAAATTTCAAAAAAACTTGTATCAAAATCTGTGATTTCGTAGTTTTCTGTGATAATTTAAAGCCCTTAGGTGCACAATCATTAATTTTAAAAATAGAAAGTTCTGGATTAAATAATTAACTATATACACAGGTGTAAAATAATCAAAATCCAGTTACGTGGGTCACGTGGATCATGTGAAACGTGAAAAATTTGTACTTAAATGCTGAGTCACATGATTTGCTGCAGTCTTGCAATTGGTGAATACAGAATTGCATAAAAAATAAAGAAATACACAATTTATAAAGTTATTTGAAGCATAAATCAGAAAAACTGATTTTTCTGTCAAGGAAAAAGGGATAATAAGCCTTGTTTCAAGGTTCTTGGTGAATGAAAATGCGTTCTGGGATGCAGAAGTTGGAGATGTACGAAGTCTATGGTCATGTGGGAGGTCACCCTCCCAGGTTGTGACTTTGGCAATTGCTGCTTGAGTTATTGTAATCCTGAGTTAAGTAGGATGATTTTCATCACAATTTAGTGCAAAGGCTGCATAAGGTCGTAGAAATTGATCCTCATTGAGGACCGTGTAGTTAAAAATCTGGAAATAGTTTAGATAATCGCAATAGTGACTAGAATCTATATACTGCCATTGCCACATAAATTCACAAAACTAAAAATTGAAAATATCCTCCATATTGCCAATGGCATTTCTTTAAAAAGTCCCTTTTTATTACACCCCACATAATTTCCATAGTGTTGTATGAGCTCTGGCTTCCAGATCCTTAAATGTCACTGCGTAATTTACTGAGAGGTGAACAAAACCATTTAAATCTTCATTTACACACCAGCGAATCACTGTTTTCTTTCTTATTCATTCCAAATCGTACAGAAACTTCAGTTTAATCTTACCACCGGGAGCCATTTTATGGTGTAAAGCACAAAATTTCAACATACTTTCTAACTGACATCCAACACAGAAATAAACACCGAGAACTATTTTCCCAACAGTCAAAATCACCGCAATCACACATTACAATGCTATGTTTTTTTTCTTGCATTTGGGGGAAAATGATTAAAATTTAGAACTTGCTCTTTGCAGAAAAGCAAGCTGGGAATTATTTTCAAATTCATAAGTTTTTACCTAAAAAGTATGTGTTAATGGCTATAATGTGATCAGCTAAACATGACTGACAAAACAACGGTAGATTGGAACAATTATCTGTGGGACATTTGTATTAATAGTGTGCTAAATGGAGGTTCTGGTAAAATCAGAGGGACTAATAAAATAGTAGAAATTTAAATAAGCCTTTTTACAAAGCACACAAATGGTACAGATCAAGTCTTGATTTTTTTATTAAATAAAGAGATGTTAGTTCCTTCAGAATTCTTGAGAAACAATTAGTGCAACTTTGCATTATCTTCATGAACTTTCTTGATTTGAGGGTAGCCAGCTTTCACATTCGACAGGATAATATTCAATATGGGATAATGTGTAAATTCTAAATATTTTTTTCAGTTTAGTGTATTATTTTATTATGAATATTTTAAAACAAGTGTATAAATTATTTTTGTATGATTTTAAACTTGCAATTCTTTGTATTTATGTGCATTTTCTCACATTTTTGTTTGTTTTAGGTTGGAAATGGTTGTACCTGAGTTTATGGAATTGTTTAAAGAACGAGCAACTGCACCTTTTTTTGTATTCCAAGTATTCTGTGTTGCTCTATGGTGTTTGGATGAATACTGGTATTATAGCGTGTTTACACTTATCATGTTAATTGCTTTTGAATGTACTCTTGTACAGCAACAGTTACGGAATTTGTCCGAGATTAGAAAGATGGGAAATAAGCCTTATTCAATACAGGTTTGTTTTTGAAATTTTATTTTATTCCCTTGGTGATATTGCTTTTATAGTAGCTTCACTGTTGCAGGAAATTTTCTGAAAAAGCATCATTTGAGTTAATCTAATATTTCCAAAATGTTGATTGCAAGGCAGTTTTTAAATATTTTATACAGTCAAAAGTCGTTAATTCGGACACCCATAATCCCGAATGATCTATAATCCGGACCTCAAAGCTAAAAACTTTCTGCGCATGCGCCGCGTTGACGCATGCACATAGGCATTTAAGCGTGTGCGTAAGACCTTTACGACTGCGCATTTGCGTGTGCACAAGCGCAGAATACGGTTCCACTGCGCGTTTAATGTATAACGGACGGTATAAGCTAAAATTATCTAATTGTCCATTTCAGTTAATGTTGATGATTGCGTTGTTCCTTAATCTTCGAATTGGATCCGGCTTATTATTTTTTGCAGACTGTAAGAGCAATTTATAAAGTAAGCTTGAAACTTTCGATTATGTCAAATAGAATTTCCGATGCTGGAGCTCCCAAAGGATCTACGAAAACGAAAGTATGTTTCGATGTCCATCAAACAAAAAGTAAAATTGCTCCAAAAAATGGATAAAGGCATATCCTTTGTTTATCTAACCGTTCCGAAATCTGTTTATCAATTTCACGCTGCTCTGCACGGGGGGGGGGGACGTGGCAGAGAGCAATGAACTGGAAATTGATCTGTCAACACTATCGTTATCTTCAGGGCAGATGTTTTTATTTTATTCGGCTTTATAATTCCTTATTAAATGTAGTATTTCATCTCGATGTACTTCGTCTTTGATATGATTTAAATCAAATTCCTCGTCATTATAAATATCACGAATACAAATCAAATAGTTTTCTGGTTGCAATTTTCTAATTTCGGCTATGCATAATGTATGCTTTACGCATGCGCGCGTTGAAAGAAATATTTAATAAAGTAAACAAATAAATATTAAGCTTTTTTTTGTAAATTTTGATACCCTTTAGATCATAATTGCTCATTATTTTATAAATTACAGTTTTATATTTTTAATTTTATAATTTCTGCATGCCATCTTACCAGATTTAAACTGATGATCTATAATCCGGAATCACCGAAGTCCCGACGAGTCCGGATTAAAGACTTTTGACTGTATAAGATCATATTTAATATTATGGGCTGATCTTTGGAATATGGTAACTGGTAGTTTAGCGACATTTTGAAGGCGATAAAGGTTACTACCTAGGACTTTGGTAATAATGTGAGAAGTACTCAGTTCCGATTATGCATTATTTTGTGTGAGGGAAATGAGAGGTCATGAGATATGTCATGTGACATTAATGGACGAATTACAGTTCTTTAATTGGAAAAGGGGGGAAATCTCGGAAAAATCTGGAAATTTGTATTTAGCTTTATTCTGTGTTGTGTGAAACAGGGTATGTTTGAGTGGAAGTAAACGTGAGGAAATAATTTAAATATTTACACTAAGTATTGTACCAGTTGTAATGTTAGCGGTATGAATTCGTTGGTGCGTTTATAATATAATAGATATTTAGAGGTAAAAGTTTTGGATATTTTATTTATTTTATATGTGGAAAGTTCATCTTTGAAAGGGTATATACTTTTCGCGATCAGGTAATTTCATATATGTTCTTTTTACCGGATTTAAAGATTTAGAAAATGTCATGCATTTTCATGAAATTTTCTAATTTATGAGAAAAAAGCAGTGTACATGGATATAGTTAAGAGTGTGTGCAATGCCATTTTGTGCAATTCTTGATGTTTTTAATAAAATAAGTCGACGGTTGCCTGGTTACTGTGTATGTGCGATTTTAAAAACGCGCAAGGAGTTTGATTCTGCACTTTTTCCAATTTTGCAGTAATATTGTCATGATAAGCAGTTTTGTACATAAATTTTTAGCATATGTAATTCGGCTAGTAGATGTTGGAAAAAGTGTTCAGTAAATAAAAAGAAGAAAAATGTCTTACTTGTGGTGAAGACAAAATGGCGGCGGAAAAAAAAAATAGAGGGTTGCTGTAGCAGAGTTGGTCGCCAAATTTTCGCCAAAAAATCACCAAGTTACCATAATCCAAAGATCAACCAATATTATGTACATTAAAATTGTATAATATCTGAGTCTATTTAATTATGATGCTATTTTTGTGTGTTTGTTTATTTGTTGCATTTTAGGTAATCATTTTAAGGTATAGGTCTGTACAATTGACTTTTTAATAAAGCATTTTGTATACAAATGTCTTGTATGCAATAGTAGATCTTGTAGTTCTGAATCCATTAGCATTTAAAATATGAAAATAGTTAATTTAAAACTTGAATTATAGAAAGTTTTGAGGAAACACGTTTTTTTTCCCTCATCTAAGAGCAATTTTCACAAAGTTTCCAGAATCTAAGCAAACCTACGTAAGCTTTAGATTTTAGTTACAGAGATAAGTTATTTTTGAGAGATTAAATTTGAAAGCATTAGCTATATTGTATTTTAAAGTTAACTATATGAATGATATCAGCAGTATTTTGTGTGTGTGTTAAGCATTAGGCATTAATGAGGATTTGTTTAATCTCTGAATTTTGCTTGAGTTACTTAGAGGTGTTGATTTTTGCTGTTGCTAATATTAAATGTGATAGATTAATTTCTTTCTGCTCATCTGTAGTAACTATTTGAAGAGATCTCTATAAAACTGTAACTCGCAAAAGTATGGTCATTTATATACAAAATTAAACTTAATCAGGTAGTATTTTATGAGTTAAATAATAAGATAGTTAATAATTATCTGTTTATTTAAACCATAAATTGAATTGGAACTTGAATTCTAACTTATTTTATTGTGAGATTCTTTATGAGTATATCTCGAGCAGCAATTACATGGAATAGAACAGAGTAGTTGATTTGAATCTCAAGGCAAGAGAAATTAACTAAATGTGTTTTACCTTTTAGTTACCTTTTATCTTTGCTTACTTGACTGTCATACAAGATAATTTAGTGTGTGTTCTATTTGCATCAGTAAACTTTGCGTGTTCAGTTGTCCAGATGAAAGAGTAGTTAGGGGAGCCTATTGCAGTACCAAAGGGCATGGTTGTAACTGGCCGTTCCTGTATAGGAGTCAATGGTAGTCACCTGTTAGATACCTCCACCATAAAGTGGCCACCACTTTTGGCCTTAGCAGTGGCTAATGTTGAATTGGCAAGTGCCTGCTATTGGATTAATTCTGCATGTTCAAAATAGCCATGCAAGAACATTCATTCATTTCTAAAATTACCATTTCATAAAAAGGCCGTGAAATCTAAAACTGTATGAAAGCATTAAAATTTAAAAATAGGAAGATATCTGGTTGCTTTTTAAGGCAGTTATTGGTACAAAAATTGTAGGAATAACAGGAAGCTCATAAATTTTGCCATGTAGAACTTTTGCATTTATTTATTTTGATACTTTCCGAATATTCACATACCCCATCTAAAAGTCATGAAAAGTTAAGTTCTACAGACCCGACTTTATGTAATTTTTTGGTGATTTTATAAGTGAAAAGCAGTTGCTGTATATATAAGGAGAACAACAGCATGAAAAAAGAAGGATTTCTTGAAAAAAGAAATAGTGTGTTATTATTGATGTGTCTTGCTTTTTTAATTTTATATGAAGCTCTTAGCAAGCCACCATTTTAAAAAAGATTGTTACCTTTTGCACATAAGTTGGTGGAAAATAGTTGCCAATGAGTTCACAAATGCTCTATAAAGTCACCGAGTTATGGACTTTTTGGAGAGGAATGTGTTTAATCAGAAAGTATAATTTTGTTCAGGATAAAAGTTGTAACTTAGATATTTGCTAAATATAAATCAAAAGTAGTTTATCATTTTTTCCTGAAATGGTATAATTTAAAAGTTTATTTTGTTACAGGTTTACCGTAACAGAAGATGGAGGCCTATTCCAAGTTGTGATTTGGTACCTGGTGATATAGTTTCTATAGGTAAAAATAGCAAGAAACTAATTGAAATTCTGTTTGAATATTTTGCCCCATCAAAAAGAAATTAGATGTCTGTGTACTGATATTTGAGTATGCTTGTATCTTAACCTTCGTAGGAAATTCATCTCGTATTTTGTAATACTTCTAATAGTCTGTAATACATATTTACAATGTACAAAATTACTTTTTCAAAATAAAATAATAAAAATTTTTAATTTGAGAATTCTGGTATAAAAATTTCTACCTTCATCTCATTTTAAGTAACTTGCTCATTTTAGTTCTAATGTAATCCAGCTTCTGAAGTTTCAGATAGAGATTTAAAAAGAATCTTTAACAATAAAGTTTGCATCTGCACAAACACAATAGTAACTTGTACGTTAATGTTACGATAGTTACTTTATTACAGCATTAGCTTGTAACCTTTTTCAAGATTCCGAGGATATCAAAAAATTGTGCAGATTTCTGATATTTCTTGTGATTTTCTAGTTTTTATTTTAATTATATAATTTTTTGTATTTATATAATTTTAATGTTCAGGTCTATCTTATAATGTTTTTCTCATACTGTCAGTCTCTTAAAAGGATTTATCAAGGATTTGAACTTAAGCCCAAAGTATAGCAATCAATTAACCTCTGTTAATTATCATACTGTTAAGGACAGTTTCTTAAATCTTATTTGAATCTGTATTTCCTATAATGGTACTATTAATGTTATAAGAATTAGCTTTAAACACTTGAAATTAACATTTTAATGATGTTCTAACTTTGAATATAAGGATATGAATGAAAGCCAATTCAAACCTAATTACACTTTTTCATAATAAACAAGTTTATTTGTAAGATTACTGATGCTATATTTTACCGACATTTGTTCTCATTTAGGAAGATCTCAGCATGATAATTTAGTTCCCTGTGATTTAGTTTTACTGCGAGGACCTTGCATTGTTGATGAATCTATGTTAACTGGGGAATCAGTACCACAGATGAAAGTACGTATAAATGTGTAATATGAATACTGATTTTTCTTATTAAATTAAAATAAGCATGCCCAGGATTTTCATAATCATATATGTAAAGAAATGAGGCACACATTTTAAACTCATATTAGTTTGGGATAGTGAAATTTTATTTATTTGTTACATCATATTAAAGTAATTTACTCAGATATGTGAAATGAAAACTCCATTTTCCCCCCTTTTGGTATATCTGTGTTTTAATATGTTTATAAGAATGACTGAGCAAATTGATTCTGTGCTTTATTTGCAATGCTTGTGGTGATATTGATGTTTTTTGATTATCCACTATTGGTTTCTATTTGTGGCTGATTTTCGGCATATTTCCAAGTATACATCTGATAATCAATAACACACACAGTAAGTGTACTATATACATGTAGGTTTATTTGCTTTATATTTAATAATCATTCTGTTGTGTTTCAAAATGTTTAATAAATATCTTCTTCAAAAATAAAGGAAGTGGTTGCAAATTTAACCATGATAGGACTTACCCGCGGCTAAATAGATAATGCTGCCAAGTACTTGTTATTCAACCCAGGATGGTTATTCTATGCTACGAGAGTCGACAGCAAGTTGTGGGCCGCCAGACGTCGCTGCTAGAAAAAAACAGGTCTGCCCGACATCTTATATTCTCCGAGTACGGAAGTTGTCGATAGCGCGCAAAAATGTGTTGTCGCATTGTCAATCAGGGTTGTTCAGTTGACGTACTAAGTAGGCAATGGTTTTGTATGTGTTTTTGCCGCTGATTTCTTTCATATTTAAACGGAGAATACAGTTGTAGATCTCTGAATCGGTGGCGAATTTATAGAAAATATGTTGATGCTTTTGCTCTGCCAGAAGGTGTTTTTATTGCTTATTTCAGATTGCCAAAATTTATAGTTATTTTAATTTGCCATGAACTGAGAGAGTATTTGGAGCCACATTCAAAAACAAGAATGCAATTTCTACTGAAAGGTTATGTATATTATTCCTGAAATTATAGATATAAATTGTAATTATATGCTTTAAAAATGTAGAAGATAATAAGCTTATCAAGCAAATAAACCTTCTTTATTTAATACAAATATAGACATCCGATAAGCTTCTACTCAATTTATGTACAGCAAGAATTTTGTTTATTTTAAAATCTAACAGTTGAATACCTTACAAACAATACTGTGAACAAAAAAAGGAATGTCGTTCATTATTACGCGGAATTCACACTACTGTAAAATAAAAATTGAAAAAAAAAAAAAAAAAAGATAAAAACTATAAAATAGCTTTATAATATTTTTCCAGTAGCAGCACTACTACTAGTGTGATATTTTTAAAAATAAGTTTTAGTCCAGAATGGCTATTAATTTCGTTTTGCCATTTTGTGGTGTTTCACGATAAATGGCGTCTTGCTTTTCAATTCGATGCCACCAAATATTATCGCACTGTATTATATTTGAAGAAATTAAATAACGAGGAATCTGCATAAATGTATGAATGTTTCTCCCACTGTGATAAAACAACGGTACCTAGAGCCATGATATTTTGAATAACGTAATCCTGCATCCTAATATAGGCATCTGGAGGCCCAAATTTGGAACTGGGGATTTGTTTTATTATCTATTTCATATTTTGTAAAGCATTTATGAGGGTTAAGAAACTCAACGATTTCAAAGCGAACAATGGCAACATTGTACCAAAAAAAAAAGGGGGGGGAATTTTTTTTTTATCTCTAGCGCGCGAGACTTTGTATCGGAAATTCTGAAGATATGCTCTTTTTAAATCATATGATATTGCTGTTGAATTGAATTTTATGGTTTAAGTGCGAAGAACATGATATTTAGTAAATAAAAGTAACACCCAAAATGTTAAAAAAAGGTTCTTTGGGGGTAATACAAAATCTGAAGGCTCTCAGTTTTTTTTTTTTTTTTTTTTTGTGTGTGTGTGTGTGTGCGCGTGCGTGTGTGTGTAATTTTATTACATTTTAAAACTGGTTTCTAAGGGAGTACTTTCTGATGAAAACTGGTTCGTATACACGTTACATATGGGGAAAGCCATGAAAACGCCGATGCGGCCAGCTCGTTTGTGGGATTCGAACCTCGGACCAAACTACCTACGTTCAGCGACTCTACTGCTCGGCCGCTGTTGGGCTTATTAGCAGAATTATACTGCATTATTATTGTATGATTCTATAAAGTACTGCTATAAGACTGAGCGTTTGTTCATGGAATAGTACTTTTGTAATCTGTTAGTATTAAAAACATTGTTTCTTGCAAACTTAAAAAAAAAAAAAAAAAAAAAAAATTCATAGCAGAGTTCTCATTTTTATATTGTAAAAGAGATATTGGTTATTATTAGTATTCTATTTAATGTGTCGAAAATGCTGGTTTGACAAGGACTTCAACTCAGGAGACCTACACTGATTATTTTTACTTTAGTACTTGCATTATGAAAATATATTACTATCTTTTCTTATTTTCACAGATAAAATCTTTGAGAAGGAAAAATTTAAATAGCAGTTTTATATATACAAGAAATTAAAATAACAGCAATGTAATATTAAAAAAAGTATTAGTAATTGTGTGACAATAATTGCAATACGAATTAATCACCTCATACAGGATAGATTAGTATAATTTTGGTTATATATTTTATATTAAAAAAATATTTTCTTTCATGTTAATTATAGAATAAATTATTTAAAATAAAACATTTTGATGTGCATGTGTGACAGCTGAATGCAGCAGCAATCGACCATACTGTAATAGCAAATGAATTTTATTCTTTTCATGAAAGAAATAATTTTCATAGAAAAAGAAAATAAAAAAAAAGGAAGAAATATTAAGAAAGGAATATTTTCTTTCTAATTTCTTACTTAATATTTTTCTAATATTAACTGTAAAATAAATTGCATGAAAACAGTTTTAATGTAAGCATGAAAAAAAAAAAAAAAAAAAAAAAAACTTAGTTTGCTATTAGATTGTAATGCAAATTAATCATATTATAAATTTAAATGATTAAAATTGTTTATTTCTAAAAATATTTGAAGAAAGCTTAATTCATTTACTCTTATCTATTTACCATTGCTTTCATGGTATCCCAAATCACTCTTTATTCCTACACCCTAAATTATTGCATTAAAACGTGATTTTCCTTCTCATAACACAGCAGCATATTCTGCTGCATGTTGGTCATAATACTGTTTTGTGCCATTTTTTTTTAACTACAAATGCAGCGTGTGAGTTTTAGTGACATAATGGGAGAATATTCCTAGAACTTCTTCAGCCACCACAAACACTATAAAAATTTTCGTTCCGTCTTGTACTGCGATTGGTCTGAAGCTCCTTGAAGCCTTCTGGATGTCAAATGGACTCACCACCCCCCACCAACTGAGGCCCACAGAATGGCTTTCTCCGATAAGTTGTGATGGCTGTCCATAATGGTTTTTTTTTTTTTTTTTTTTTTTTTGAGTCAATATTGTTCACTCAAGTTGTATACAGATGCAGTGATCTTAGAATAGGCATTCTGGTTTGAATCCTGCTCAGTGTGCTGATTTGGCTGCATAGAAATTTTATATTTTTTCCTTTGTATAACATATATATGAGGTCTGAGTTGTTTTAATCTACTATAGACATTTGTAGATGATGATTTATGTTTAATGAAGACTTTTGTTTATATGTTTTATCTGTTAATATTTGTACTTAATTTTATTTACTTCAAGACATGATACATTACTAAGTTTATCAACAGAAATACTGTGTATATTAATTATTAATTTTACTTTCTTCATATTTAAAAGTACTTTAATAAACTCTCTTTCACTACTTGGGATTTTCTCAATATTAATGTGTAAGAAAATATGATGTTTTATTGCCATTAGATTTCAGCAGAAGGTCTTTAAGTCCTAAAAAACACAAACTTTAGCTAACAATTAAAACCAACACTATTTAACATTTAAAAAAAGAAATCTCATCTTGCAAGAGGTTAAATATTCAAACATTAACACTCAAGAGACGATGCCAGACATTAACAACGAACAGGCAAAATAAGGTGAGAAATAAGTAGTAAATCTTGGCAAAAAAGTTTTTATCCTCGCACTTTGATGAGCACATATGCATATTACACAGGAAATATTAATGTTGTCACTGATTGTAATGAAGATTTCTGCCATAAAAATTAAATGAACCAAAGAATATAAAATTTAGAATAACGAATTAAATGTTGATATGCTTTACATCAGAATTGAATTAAAAATAGTTTATAAGGTATTTCTCCCACCTTCATGGTGTGGTGGTCTGCACGCTGGGCACGTATTCCAGAAGTCTGCGGTTCGATTCCCGGGCGAAGGTGTTGCTAATTTTTCAAGTCTCATGCTTCTAAAAAATCTAATGTCTCTACAGCGGCGCCCGAACTAAAAAATTGGTGGATGATGATTCTCCACATCCAGGATTTGGCTATTGGGTTCCTTTCCCCCTAAAAAAAACAGTCGCCCCTTTAAAAGGGGGAGTATATAAGGTATTTCTCCCACCTTACTAGCACGCTCTTGTGGTGTGGTGGTCTGTACGCTGGCGAAGGCGTTGCTAATTTTTCATCTTGCCTGTTTCTAAAAAAATCCTAATGTCTCTACAAGTTCAATAACCTGAACTATATATTATAAAGTCAGTTTATGTCAGTTTGAAGTTCCTTTGAAGTGGTATCACTGAACATTGCAAACCTCCTGGATTTTTTCCCCTATTTTTTGTAAAATATTAATCTGGCAAGAAAACATTTATTCAGTTAAACTTTATACTTCTGTATTTAATTTTATGAATTTCAGTAAACATGTACTGCTTTATTTAATTCTATGAACTTCAGTGAATTGGAAGCATTATTAATTCAATCGCTTAAAAAAAAAAAAAAATCAGCAGCATTTTATTTAAACTTTTTTAGAGTAATTCATGTTATGTAGTCTTAATCAACAGTTGTTTAAAGATTTTAAATGAAGCAAAAAATATTTGCAAATAAATGAAACATTCCTTTCTTTCTGTCAGATAAACTTAAATTTAGTAAGTAATTTAATAAGGCTGTTTTAAAGATTTAAATTTTTGAACTTCCCTTTATGAATCATTCTGTTTTTTATTCTATACCAAACATGACAGACTGTTGAGATTTGCTTGTTATTTTAAAATGAAGCATCATTTCAAGATCCTGTTAGTTTAATGTAACTTCAAAAACCAAAATATGTCATGGAAAAAGTACATCTAAGATCACCTACTGGAAAACATCTTTTTTATTGATTAAATCATGAAGGAAATGTATTCATGTAATAAATACTAATAAATCTACTCATCTAATAAATAATATGATGGTAAAGGATTTAATGTTGCCACAGACATATAATAAATATGTAAAGCTATTCCTTTTTATAATAAATAGAGATTATAAAATGTGTTCTTTTGAATTTCAAAAGGTGATTTTTTTAGGGTGATTTTCATCCTTTCTTTCTTTTAGGAACCTATTGAAGAATTAGATCCTAATGATGTTTTAGATTTAGATCAGCATGGCCGTTTACATATATTGTATGGGGGAACCAAAGTTCTTCAGCATACTCCACCAGGAAAAACTAGTCCTGGTCTGAAAGGTATTTTTTTATTTAACAACAAAATTTTAAAATTATCTTTTCAGGCATTGATCTCTTCATTATTCTATTATTAGGTTTTTTTTTTTTTTTTTTTTTTTTTTTTTTTTTTATGTTAGACTTGCTGATAATTATAACTGCTGGATTTATTTGACTCATTACATTTATGTTAGAAAAGCAAATCTAAAAATCTAATGCATGAATGAATCCATTATTTTTGTTGAACTATTTTCTTTGATTTTAAGTGTTAAACGTAATTTCTGAAAATTTATATCTTCAAATTCATTTGTAATACAGTCTTTTTTAATTAATATAATATATCATTATTTACTGTAATTCTAACTGCAGAAAAGTTACTTTTATGCAATTTTGTGATTAAATTGCAGAAAAGTTACTTTTATGCAATTTCGTGATTAAATTGTCCATATGCAAATTTTGCTGTTTAAATATGTCCCCCCTTTTTTTGTCCAGGTTATGAAATTTGTTTAATTTTTTTAAGTGTGTGTATCTGCTTTTAGCTGCTGACAATGGCTGTGTTGCATATGTTCTGAGAACCAGTTTCAACACTTCTCAAGGGAAATTGCTGAGAACAATTCTGTTTGGTGTAAAGCGTGTCACTGCTAATAATCGGGAGACATTCTGTTTCATACTTTTCTTACTTGTATTTGCAATTGCTGCATCTGCTTATGTATGGATTAAAGGTAATATTGAAATTAAGTTAATGCTTTTAAGGAAGTTTCTGTAACCTCCTAAAGCAAGGGCAAAATTTTCATGATATAGCTTTTAGAATAACACAATCCAAAACACATTTTCCATGTCCTTTGCTGTTCCCTATTGTAGAGTTGCCAGCTCTCCCGATTTCCGACCTTACGCCCGCAAACCCGATTTTCAACATATTTCTCCCGAGTTTCTCTTTTTCTTGAAATTTATTGTGATTTTCATGTAGCTTCGTTTGATATTTCATTATCACTTTTAATTTTGTTCTGCAACTTTTTTTTTTTCCCAAATATGACATGGGAAAAAAGTTCTCATTCACACAATTAATTGGTAAAAGGTTTAAAGGTTGTGTAAAAAGGGAATAAGCATTTAATAGCTTTCTTTGAAATGCCTTTAAATTCTTTTTTTCAGTTCAGCTTTAAGTTAACAAGTGCATTATTTTTTTAAACTTCAGTTATTCTATCACAGTTTCTATCAGTTGTTCTTTTTCTTCACAATATTTTTGAATTAAGAGTATTTTGTTTCTTTGCGTACCACCAGTGGTACACATACCACTGGTTGAGAATTGCTGATTTGTACCATTCAGTGTCTAACCATATACAAGCAATTATGGCAACTCATGATGGCTACATGCAAAACTGATCTGCATTTTTTTATATCGTAATTATCTGAAATTTTAATCATTTCACCCTTGTTGCAAAATATTACTAAAATAAATATTAATTTATCATCTTTATGATTTTGCAATTTTAATGTCCAGCAGCATATGTATAAGAAATTTAGCAGCATGTGCAAATGGCATATTTTTTGTGAAATACATTTCTGTGTTAGAAAATGATGAAGGATATTGAAACATATTACAGCTTTATGTTTTACAGTTCTTTTTTCAATTAATCATACTTGGATATAACAAAATTCATGTAACAGAGTAAAAAATAAAATGTCTGAGTATATATGATAGTTAAACTTATATTCAATTATAAGTAGTAGTAGTTGTGATTTTTAAATTATCAGTCATCATTAATATAGGCCCTATTTCCTCACAAATTCCCGCCCCCTTTTTTTTAAATAATCTTATCATTCGAAAATGTAGATGTGAAAATTATGCAAGTAATTTAATTTCTGAGGAATGTGATTACAGCAAGAATGTAACAAATGAAAAGTAGTCATGGATAAACTACTAATAACTATCACAATATTATTTCTTTAAAATGTATGCTCCAGAAATAATGTGTAGTAATATTAATATTACAATATCTGATGGATATTGAGCCGATATCTGACTGTAATTATGTCTGGATGATGTTTCTGGCTCAATTACCTTGTAAAGTCTCAGGGGCACCACACACGGATGAGTCCTGACTGCAGCTCCTAAGAGCGATTTCAAAAGAATGAAAGAGAACGGAGCGAACAAAAGATACAAATTTCAAAAGATCAACCACAATGGCAGTAGATAAGGCCACTATGAGTTGGAATGTAAATAATAGAAGTGAGGTGAAGTCATACAGTTGGAAAGTTTCTTCTTAAAGATCTCTGAAAACACTTGGATAGCTTAACAAAGAATCTGCACATGTATAGCTTAACAAAAAATCAGCACTTAACATGTTTCAAGTAATAAAGGCAAAAGAAAATAAAACAGAGGCTAGTACAAAATTTAAATAGAAATTGAATCCATTGAAGAAAAATAATCAGTTTACCAATAAAGTATCCCTCAGATGGAAAAACTGTAGTGTAGAGAAAAGGCAAAATTATGCAAATATTTTTTTAATTTTCAGAATCTAGTGCTAGAAAGCTAAAGGTTAAAATACATGAGAAAATATGGTATTGATGATACACCATGTTGAGATTTATGTTGAATCACATTTCGAATCATAATATTGAAATTTTATAACCACATGCAATTCCAGAACTAACTTAGTGTTAGTTAGCTTAGCTAATGTAATAATAGTGTTAAAATATTCTTTGATAAAAAGAATTAATATGGTATATTTTATTTGCTAGCACTGACATTGCCTAGCAATAGTGCAAATTAATAATTAATTAATTATGCGTTATTGTTTACCTGATATGTTATAATTATTTTATACTTAATTGAATTTGCTAGGTGCAGAAGATCCTAAACGGAACAGATATAAGTTATTTTTGGAGTGTGCATTAATATTAACATCTGTTGTACCACCTGAGCTTCCAATAGAACTTTCCCTGGCTGTAAATACTTCACTGCTGGCACTATCAAAATTATGTAAGTAATCTGTTATATATATATATTTTTTTTCATGTGTTTACTATTTGTCAACATGATTTGCTGCTAATTTCTTTGCTTCTATTGTTAGATGTATATTGTACAGAACCATTCCGAATTCCTTTTGCTGGGAAAGTTGAAATATGTTGCTTTGATAAAACTGGAACTCTTACTAGTGATAACCTAGTAGTTGAAGGTGTTGCAGGCTTAGAGTAAGTATGTGTTTATCAAATTAATCTTTTTTAACACATGAAGTGCTATTTATTCTCAATCCTCACTTTTTTTTATCTGTATGAATTTTCAAACTAAAGGATGTTGCCACAAAATATTATCACCATTTGTTATTTTTAAAGAAATAATATAGTGAATATATATGTATAAATATATACAGTATAATGCACTTAACACAAATAAAAGGATGTTGACACCAAATTTTATTGCAGTGTCTTATTTTTAAAGAAATAGTGTAGCAAATATAAAAAAGGTATGACAACACTAAATAATGTTGCCACAAATGTTATCACCATGTATTTTTAAACAAATAATATGTAAAATTATATGGCAACACTTGACATTTTATTGAGAATTCTAAAAACATGCTGTGTACATCTGAAGACATTTTGTGAATTTACTGTTGAGTTTTATATGGCATAAATGCAAAGAAAATAATGTTTAATAAATAAAGTTAAAAAGCATGATAAAAAAATGAAAATCTGTGTAAATATCTTACTGAAAACATTAATATGATAAATTTGAAAAGACTGAAAATGGTGACACTTAACACACTATAGGAAATTCTAAAAATGTGTTGCTTTTAAAAATTTTGTGATTTTACTATTGAATTTTACTTGTGTTACTACAAATAAAGCAATGTTTAATAAATAATAATAATAATAAAACATAGTAATCAGGTTGTTGTGCTCCGGGCCCGGAATTCCGGGGATTTGGACTTCGATCTCAAAAGGAAGTGGGATAATAATGAATTTTATTTTGATCTGGGTAATTTTGTTTGCTTTGAAAGCAGAAACGCAAGTCAGTGTGTGTGGTGAAAACTTTTCCTTTCTTTCTCCAAAGGCAGTGATAATGCGTGAAAGGGGGAAAACTTCTTTTTTGTTCTTTCCTTTTGCAATTTATGACTCATTCCCCCTGTTCTCGGACATCTCTTTCTGTATCTTTTCGGCAAGTGGCAGAAAAAAAGGAGAGGTTTACAGATGGCGATCACGTGACTCGGGTTCAAAGTGTACTCTCCTGGCGTGGCGCAATAAGTAGAGAAGGGGGATTTTTCGCCGTATTAGTTATATAACTTTTTTTTATTTTATTTATTGATACCGAGAATTTCACTAAAATTTCTCGATATAAATGATATTATACAATTGAAGAAGTGTCCGGAATGCATTTAGGTGGAATTGCATCGAACGGAGAGATGGTAATGGGGAAACCATCGCACATGGTGCAAGAAAATAATGTTGCTGGACAAGCATTGTGTTTTTGTAACTCACTGCTGAAGTATGTGGGGAAGGATTCAAGGCTTTCACAATCATTCTAACTGTGACGCCATAAAATATTCAAAGTGCATTAGACATTCAATGACTTTAGTAATTATGCTAATTCAAAAATACTGATGACTTACTGGAGACTGATGCTCGGCATTGGATATAGTGACAAGAAAAGCACGCCAAGAGGTATTAATAACTTCGTTTATCGCCGAGAATTCTCTTCTTTCAATGATTCCCAATTTAATTGAACTCTGCAAACAGTTGAGCTGCGATCAGACAGCACTAAACTCGTTGGAATGTCCAGGAACTGCATGTTATAAGAAGAAAATATGGGCTCACAAAAACTATTAAAGAAAATATCAATAAAACTTAAAGGAGACTCCATTTCTCTCAATTTGGTGAAAGTACTAGCAATGCTCAAGAAAGTAACTGGCAATATTGGTGCAGTTTTATGACAACAATCAAAAGAAGTTGTAGTTCATCGTTTTGCATCTTAAAGATGGGATCTGCAATTCAGAAGCTGTTTTTTAAAGCAGTTGTTAATACTATTGAAGTAATAATATTCCATTGGCAAACTTAGTGTATTAATGGACTCATGTAACACTATGCTGAAAAAAAAAAAAGGTGTTTGAAACCAGACTACGATCAAACAAAGCACCCCACTTATAGATATTGATGGTGAACATGTCACACAGCTAATAATTGTGCAAAAAAATTTGCTTCATGTTTTGATAGATACTTAGAAGATTTTTTGATGAATCTTTTTGATATGAAAAGCTGCAGTAAAAGAGAAAAGTTTTTTCAAAATCTGTGAATCCCTTGCCATTAAAAAACTTAAGCCCTTGAAGAGACCAGACCATAGGTGGGTGCACATTTTGTGTTTTTCGAAAGAATCAAGATCTGTGGGATGTCTTATTGCATTTTATTTTCACTACTTGGATAAAACTGATAAAGGCGATTATTTTTCTTAAGTTGAAACTGTATACAATAAAGAAATATTTCTGCAGCTCAGAAAAAATTGTTGAAGGGGTGTATTCTTGCTTGCATTCCAACAACTCACAAGGTGCTTAGCTCGGAAAAAAAGAATCTAAATGGGTTATTTGTTATGCAAAACAAAACTTTATTGCATATGGCATTATATTCAGCAGTATTACCAGAGTTCAACACATATATTAAATTATTGCAACAAAAAAAAAAAAAAAAAAAAAAAAAAAAAAAAAACCATGCTTCATTTAATACATTCAGTATTTATAAATTGATGGCAAAATTTTTCTCTTTTTTATGAAGCCAGAAAATATAGAGTGCACATCTTATAATGATTTATTAAAGGTTGATGTCACAATCCAGAATCCATCTACCTAGCAAATAATATTACTGGTGCAGAAGCTTCCACTCTCCTGAAGAATTATCAAAAAATCATCCAATAGCAAAAGAATTCCAAATTTCTCTGATGAAAAGCTTATACTAATACAGCACAGCATATGAACAGAATTACCCCTTAAAAATTCATATCTAATTAGTTTTACAGCATTAGATCCAGAGCTAAGAGGTAAAACCAGTAAAGCTTTGAAAAATTATCTTTTAGTCCCATATTTTTAGTGATAATGAAAAGTCAAAAGTAAAGGAAATAAGGTTATACCAGAGTGATATTGATATCACCAAAAAAGCTCACACATCTGATGAAAGTGGAAATCAAGTCAAATGTACAATTGATAAATATTGGTCTAAGTTTTAATTTTGATGATTTCACAAATGATTATAAGTATCCTGCATTGGCTAAATTGGTCAAAGCCTGCCTTATCTCTTCCATGGCCCATTAAAGTGCATTCAACTTAATGGATACACTGAGTATTGTCACTGAGTATAGACCTCTCTTAAGATTGATTCCTTAGATGCAGTGATATTAAATGATTAACTAAAGAAACCTCATGTGAAAAATATGGCTCAAAAAATCAATGACTGATCCATTTACAAAGATTTCTTACTGAATATGAACAGAAGTTGGAAAACATATAAGAGGACTTAAAAACGTGTATTCAGATGAGTCACCTATAAAAGTCTGAAAACCTTCTACATTAGCAGAAAAAGCAACTGCTTCTACCTCTTCATGTGCATTTCTGAGGAAATTTCTTCAACTGTAAATGAGGAAATAAAAGTCAACCTTCCTGCAATTATGAAGTTCACCACAAAAGAAAGAACAAGCCCACAAACATCAGAAAATAAAAAAAAAAAAGCGCAGAAGTAGATTTTTTTTTAAAAGAATTAATTCAGGTAATTTAAAATATTTACATAATGTAGTGTTATGTTTGAAAGAAATGGTTAAAAAAAAAGTAATTCATTGAACTTTATAATTAGGTCATTCAATACTTCATAATTGTAATTTTTCATTTCTCTCCCCCCCCCCTTCTTGAAACTCCAAAATGTCAGTAGTAAGTCCGTAAAAACTTCAGGGGATTTTTTGGGGTCCCACAAACACCCCTGGTAATTCCAAGAGCAAATTGGGAAACTGCTCTGAGCTCAGCGAGAGTGTAAAATATCTTAACAAATCCTCTGGTGCAACATAAAAATCTGAATCCTTTCAGGTTTTTCTTTCTTTTGTTTTTTGCAACTGTTCTTTTCTCTGATGCTTTTGTTATACAAAATTATCAGTTTGTCTCTGAGAATTTGTACTTAATTCACAAGTGGTAATATATGACTGCGCACATGAACACATCCATCCATCCATCCATACATTTCTGAATCTGGTCCTGTTAACCGAAGAGTACCTGCCAAACACTTCATACTTTATTTATGATGATGTTTATAACCAAGTTTGGTTCGCCCTTCCGCAGAGGAAATGTGTCTGTTCCAGGAAAGTGAAAGAAGAAACTGGAAGAGGAAACTGGAAGAAATGGACAAGAATACTTTTAACACTGTTAAAGTGTATAAATTAAGATTAAAGTTCAGCAAGATTAGATCAAATTTGCTCCTCTTTTGATTTTATCCATTCATCACCCAAATTTTAAAACAGGTTATTGCATGCAATAATAAAAAATAGTGTTGTGTTATGCTATTTTTATAATGAATGTAGATTCAGTTTTGTAATTTAATTTTCTTTTTTTTTTATTTCAATTTTGTTTTTCTGTTCTTTCTAAATTATTTTACTATTTTTATTATTCATATGAACAGCACTTTCAGAATCTGTCCAAATTCACAGGCTAGTTTCTTTTTTGTACTGTGAAAGAAACACTATAGATCTCATCAGTGACATCATGATAAAAAATGTGTTAAACAAAATCAAAGCTTTATAAATAAAAACTTGTGAAATTTACTATTTTTATTGAGAAAGATTATTATTTTGTATTTTTCTATAGAGTAGCACTTCTTAAATCTTTTTTCATTCATGATACCTTTTTATCATCAAGATGTTTTTGCAACCTGAGGTATTAAATATAAAATAAATATATAAAATTAAATATTTTCCCATAGGTAATTTATTTCTTTTGTAAACAATTTATGTAGGGAATGTAGTAGTTTTAGGGTTTTTTCCCCTTTTTTTCAAGTATACAAAAATAAATGAAAGAAAATCACATTTTAATGGAATGTATATGCTTGTTTTCTGCTGCATAGCAAATTAAATCTTTGTGCAATATTTGATGATGCTGGAGATACAGCATCTTCAACATATTTCAGTGTTGATATTTGGATTTAATAAATGTTAAAGCTGAAAAAGTGGTTTCACGTAAGTATGCAATGCTAAATAGCAGAAGAACGTTTAATGCCGTTTCAAAGATTGTTTGAAATTCTGTTTTTAAGTTTCAGTAGCTCAATAAATTCCTTTTGGCATTTATAGAGCAGGTGATTCATTAATCTCATTAATGTAAATCAAAAATGGGTTTTGAATCCAAGATAAACTTTTTGAAATCAAAATTCAATATAATGTATTTGTAAAACTGTGTTTCTAGGGGTTTTAAGTGAACTTTCATAATTTTTGCAATTAAAATTTGAAGTTTTTTTGTTTTGTTATTATTATAAAATTGTAAACAGTTGAAAACATTTTCTATGTTTGTCTTTCAAATATTGATGTTTTTAACAAAACTTTCGATTTTGTTGTATAAAGTAAATGCATTGCTAATTTTTACTTTAAGAGATAAGTTCATATCATTTAGTTTCTCGAAAATATCTGAAAAATGGCACAGTCATTTTAAGTCATTTTAAAAAAGAGCAGCAAGATCAGATTTTTGTTTGGTTAAAAATGTAATCATTTTGCCTTGTAATAATAATAATGATAATTTTAATTCTCACCTTCTAGATATTAATATAGCAAGTAGTAAAAATTTTTTTATTCAAATTCTATGTCGCTGCAGATATTTGAAGGTACACGGCTGTTAAGGGCATGGCTTTTAATAAAGGTAATAATTTTGACAGAATACTGAAGCACATCATTTAGTTCCATTGCTGATGTTTTTGCTGTAAAGTCGTATTAATAGCTTAGTGTTAAACAAAATCAAAGCTTTATAAATAAAAACTTGTGAAACTTGTTTTCAGTGTGTAAAAGTGATATCTTCATTATGAGCAGGTTTATGGTAGCTATCATGGTAACCAGAAATGGGAGCTCATCACCAAAATTGAACAAAATTTGTCGCCAATCGAAGGGGCACCTAATTCTACACTAGAGCCAAGCTGGTTTAGTCCTAGTCTTAGAAAATACTTTTTGCTCCATTTCTCTCTTTATTTCTAAAGCTCTCAAGAACTTGCACCTATCACCAAGTCAAAAATGCTTTTTTACTTCTTCATCAATGAGGGCTACTTAAAGGTGATAGGTTAGTTAGTTTAAACAGGGTGCACGATGTGAAGCCGACGGATTTTTAACCAGAGTACATTAAAAGATATTTATAAAGATGAACATTTAGTCATTTTATAATGGCAGAACATTCCCAAAAGTAAAATGATAATTGCAAGTAATTATCATTTGAAACATTTATCAATTGAAAATATTATTTAAATTTTAGGAGTGCATGCTTATGTTTAAAAATTAATTATGCTTAGAATGCTTAGGAATCTTTGTTATGTATTAAAATTCGTGAATGAAAAATGAGAAAGATCTATTTTATAATTATAAGCTTTATATTTCCGGTCTGCTTATGTAAAGGTGTTATTTTGATAAATGATTAATAGGCATATTGCTTAATTTGAATTAATCTTAAAACTTTTTTAAAATTCATGGTATGAAGAGGAAACAAATTGTGAATGCTTAAGGAAGAGTCTTAGCTTTTAGCTTTCAGTTTTTTCTTTCTCAAAAAATAAACCTTTAGTGAATAATATACATTTATTTGGATTAATAAATGTTTTCTTTGTAGTAAGAGTGGAAAGGTGTGTTCCATAAATGAAATACCCTCAGAAACTGTACAGGTCCTTGCAACATGTCATTCTCTAGTTCAAATGGATGATGGTATTGTAGGAGATCCACTGGAAAAAGCAACTTTGACTGCTGTTGAATGGAATCTCACTAAAGGTAATTTATTTTCAGTACTAGACAATATACAGTAACGTTTTGGCCTTCAGGTGTTTAATATTCTATTTTATCCAAGTGAATGAATGACTAAGTCATATAGAAATTATCATTATAGATATTTTTCAAATTAATTTTTGACTTTTGTAAAATAGTTACTATCATTTTCTGTAATGGCCATCACAGTATATTCCATTTATCCATTTCCTACTTTTATTTATGAATGAAATAATTCTGCAGTTGTAGACACGAAAAAAGGGGTATTAAATTCTGTTCTGATTTGAATATGCCTATTTTTTTATTGCACAAAATTTGTAACAAAATATTGCCTTTTGATTCAAAAGCAATATTGTATTAAAATTATTCACTAAAATTAATTCAATAACTTCATGAGTTCAACATTTCTGATTACTAACATTCAGTTTTGTTTCTCTGAATAACAATAGTTTTTCCTGCATTTTGATAATGTATTATGTTCATTTATTTAACGATAATTAACAAGATAAAAAATATTTAAGTGTTTTATTTTTAATTACTGTATGATGTATTTTTTATTATCATTCTATTTGTTATTCCAGTATTAAAATTCTTTCGCTTAAATGCATTTGAGATATTTAATGAGAAATCCGAAGTTACTCATCAAAGTGTTAAATCTCTGAATACCTTTCTGTATAATTATTATTG